AAGAGGGTGGGACTGGACGTAGGAGGATTACACCACCTCTGAACCAGGATACACTGTGTGTTGATTTACATTTATTCAACAAAACACGCATTAGCACTTCTCACAAAAAGATTGAAGTTTGCCAGCAGAATCCTAAGTAGTTGTCTTAACTGACCCAACTTCTTATCCTACTGATTAATTACTTACCTTCTTTGAGACTATTTTCACACAAGAGACGTGCATCAATATCACTATTTCCAGAAATTCATTTTCCAAGTATAGCAGGTGCCTCAGTAGTTCCCTGGAAACCACCCAACTGCTGAGCCCTCTGCTCATAAACACTTGTTTCCCTTGAACATCTCAACATGACCAGACTCTCATAACATCATCAATGAGAAGTTTTGCTAAAACTGGTCTCTGAAAATCTTCTTATAACCTAAGCAGGTGGCTCAGCAGTTCCCTCATTACCACCCAACTGCCGAAACCACTGCTCCAGTAAAACTTTGCTTTACTCCTACTAGAGCATCTCTTCAGACAACCCTCATCATTCTAAACAATATTCCATAATCCCTTTCGTCATAAAGTCAATAATTCTCTAGCAGTTACCTGAGCAGTTCCCTGCTACCCAGCCAACTGCTAAACCAACTGCCAAGCCAACTGCTAGCTATCTAAGTCAAACCTTCTCCAAGTTAGAGATTGGTTATTCACTAATTACATAAAGAGTAAAGACTTCCGCTGTGCATCTATAAATCTCTCAAAAGATTATAGATTAACTCTTTAGAGGGAAAAACGCTTTAAAGTTGAAAAAGATTTAAAAGTCTATTCAGCCCCCCTCTAGACTTTTACCCTATCCGGACCATCATAAACGATTACCACGATTATACCCGACCAATTATCCATTGGGGGGGGTCTTGATTTTCTTAAAAATTGCAAGGTTGGAAATTTCCAAGTGAGACGAGTACAATTATATGTGATGTTCCTTAGGGATCGGGTTATGAAAGTTCTAGTGAGAAGTTAGAGAGAGAATGATTCACGTATAAAAAAGACAGTAACATTATGCTAGAAACTAAAGGTCTAGTTTGGAGATCTGGGCACCATGGGCGACCCGGATGTCGAATGGGTGACCCGAAGTAGTGTTGACTCATACGCACTCATAGGGACGAGTGAGTCATCCGGAGTAGTGTTGACTCATATGCACTCATAGGGAGAGCTAGTGACGTAGAGTAGTTTTGATTCATATGCACTCTTAGGGACGAATGAGTGACCTGAAGTAGTTTTGATCCATATGCACTCTTAGGGACAGGAGAGTGTGCTGGAGTAGTATTGACTCATATGCACTCATAGGACAAGGTCGAGTAGACAAGAGTAGAAGTTACTCATACGAAATTATAGGATGGGAGGGTGACCTAGGGAATGGAAGGCCCAGTATAACATTCAATAGGCACGAATATAGTACAGGGCATGCGAGCTAGATATCTGGGGTTACATTAAAGGAAAGGGTGAAAGTCTGAGGACTACATCCTCGTAAATGTTTTGATGAAAACAAATGACATGCAGGTCGGATATTTTACAAGTATATATTATGGGTATTATCTTGTGGTTGGGGTAGTGTAGACTATGCCCTTATATGTATGTATCACCCTATATTTAGGTCGTATACTCGAAATGTTGGTTATCAGTCATAAAGCATGTATGTCACCAGTACTACTTTTTGTGGAGTAATGACACCTTCGAGGGCCCTCACTATTTTTACAGGTCGAGACTAATGTCTGCTTCCTGCACCATTGTTCAGGTGATTATCTAACGGAAGACCTAATTCGTGCTTCTAGTTCATGTTTTCATGAAATGTAATTGCTCATGGGATATTTCTAACCTAGTGTTTAGTAAACGTTTTAAGGCATGTGGTTATGGACGTACGTCGCTTAAATGTATTTACTGACCGGATTGGTGTATGAATTCTATCGAATGCCTTGTACAATTTAATGAGCACAACTGTGGTTATCTTTGTTGAGTTGTATGGCGGTTATTTAAGTGGCACGGATGCGGTGGGTCACTGTAGTGTATTTCAGAGTAACAAATCAATAGTAGATGATGAGTCATTAGGAACTAATCACTGAATATGTCACATTTTTGGAATATTTTAAAATAAGTACTCATATTTTTGTCAATTGAATTTAATTTAGTAATATTCATGAAAAAATACCATCTCCATTTTTAGATATGTAATTAATGTTAGTGGAATAATTTATCTTAGAACTTTTCAAGTTCTAAAAATTTATGTAGCTGCATTTTAAGACTATGATTAATTATAGGTAAGCTTGAATGGAACTAATCATTCACATTTTTAATGTAAATCATATCTCAAAGACTGCCTAAAAATAAAATTTAAGTATCAATTTAAAATTCATGAAAATGGCCCGAAGAAGAGTCAAAAATCACGTTATTGATGTTGTTTTGTTGTCAGGCGAAAATGATTTAATTTAAAGGTCAAAAGTAAACTGAAAAGATAACAATGTACTCCATATTACTTAAAATATAAAAACATTGTAGAACAAAGAAGACACTATATATAGGGATTAGGGACTAAACCAATGTTAAAGCTTTTAAATTTTTTACAATGTCTACTGTTAGTTGAAATGTTTTTATATTGAGAGTTCATAGAATTGAAAGTTAAAAAAAAAGTGTACGTAGAATGAAAGACGAGAACAAATTTTCAACATTTTTTCAAATACATCGTGCAATTTGACAATAGAATAGAAAGTGAAAAGATGCTTATTATTTTTCATCGAAATGTTTCAGCATTGTATATGTTGAAGCTTTCGAAATTAGAAGCAAAAAAGTTCTTGAAGAGAATATAAAGAAACGTACGTGTTAGTAGAGAGAAAAAACTGATTAAATGGACACATTGATCATTTTTTAGAGTAAGCGGAATTATTTGATACTTTTGTAGTGTATGAGTTTAAGTGATAAATTGAAAATAGTAGAAAGGTTTATTTGACCATTTTCTCTTATAAAATTTTCACATTAAAGACCGACTGTGTATAATAATTACCGAAGTTGTTTTAGATGGTGTCCAACTGTCCATAACTGCTCTTAAATGGGCTAATCAAGCTTTGATCAAGTCTAAAATTGTGGGAACGAGTAGGCATTTGGTGCAGGGTTCCATAGCTAAGTAGCTAACTGAGTACGCATATAGTTAATAAAGGGTGCAAGTTACTTGTTGACTTCCTAAATCTAGTGAAGGGAGATGACAAGAATGTTGATCGGTTTCAATTATAGTCAAAGTTTTTCTAACTTTAGCTAGAATAACATTACAAAAATTCTATTTATACACGAAATTTATATACGCATTTATATGCATTGTCTGTATAGAGATCGATAATTTATATATCATCATGTATAGACCATTATGTATAGACAATTACACAGACAACTTATGCATCATAGTTTGTATGTATAGACAATTACAAATGTGTGCCAAGTGTACATGTACAAATTTATGTACAAAAAAAATTGTTGATAACATAAACAATAAACATAAGTCTAATTATATCGTTTAAACTATAAAATCTCCGCTCCATCAAAGGTATCAAATCATATCTATTAAGGTGAACTGAAAGGTCGGACCTCAAATATTGACAAGGTAACAAAACAACATCAACACTATTTAGGGATAATGGAAACTAATAATCCAACCTTTTAGCGGTCTTCTTACAATAGTCTCACCTTTTGATTATTCAGAGATAATCCAACCTTTGCACCACATCTTCATTCAATGGTCCATGACCGGTTGATGATCTATTATTCCAAGTTATTTTCTCATCTTTGTAATATATTATACCATAAATCTCACATTATGATCACATAATGTTTTGCAAAGATAAGAAAATAACTTGGAATAGCAAGTCATCAGCCGGTCATGGACCATTGAATGAAGATGGGGTGCAAAGGTTGGATTATTACTGAATAATCAAAAGGTGAGACTATTGTAAGAAGATTGCTAAAAGGTTGGATTATCAGTTTCCATTTTCCCCACTATTTAAGGCGCAAATCGTTAACATTAAAATTAAGTCTCAGGAATTAGTGGGTTATGTTTAGCGGATTATGTTAGCATGTTTATCAATAGCTAATTCAGTCAGCAGGTTTATCAATAGCGAATTCAATCAGCAGCTTTGGCTTGCGAAAAAAGTTAACGAGTTGTAAGAAATTGTTTGATAATTCAACTGTTTGTCCATAACAATTAGTAGTGTTGGGATATTGATCCAGAGGCCCAATACCCGGATAAAAAAGGCCCAGGATACCCGGCCCAAACAACGGGTCCATTGCTCTATGATGAGCAGGCCCAGTAAAGAATCCATACCGAACGGGGTTCGGACCATATAACATACTTGGGCCAAATTGACAACGTCATCCGCAAGGTCCAGCATCCCGTTCGAGCAACGGGTAATCAGCAAGTGGCCAGGTGCAATTAATGTCAGATTGTGACATCAGCAAGTGGAAGCATGAGTGATCAAGTCGGTGGAGCAACGGCCAATCAGCATAGAGCAGCCCATGTTCTCCATTAGTATAAATAAAAGGTTTAAAATCATTGTAAGGATTAGCATTTCAATACTCAAGCTCTAGAATAACATTATTACTTTTGTTTCTTGTATTAAAGCTCTATTCCGACCTACCGATCGGGAAGTTTTCCTTGTAATCAGACAGGTTAATTAATACAAGTGGACTTTTGGGTATTAGTGGTTTCATCTTTTATATTTTGTTATACACTTTGATTCTGGTCCATTCCTGATATATCCAAAGTTCGTGTTGGGCTTTCGGATCTACGAGACTTACCTTCAACAAGTAGAATATGTCATATTTCAAAATGTTAACCAAAACTCTCTTATTTGTAGTGTTTCCATTTAATTTTAAAGAATTTCATCCTAAAATGTAGGGCCGGAACAGCTATTTACCAAACAAGGTCTAGACTTATTAAAACCTCATTTATTTTCCACACACCCTTAATCTCAAAAGATGTCATGGTTGTATGGCAAAGTGGATTTGAAGAAAGACGACTTAAGCTATCTTTAAAAGACTTGAGACTGTATTAATTATAAATCAAAATGACTCACAGCCTTGTATGGATCGGAGTAGAATCATGTATACTCCGTATATGCTAGTGTTTCCAAAACTACAGTAGTCGTCGTCATTAATTGTCAACAAAGATCTATGAAAGTGTTCTTATTTCCTAAGTTTAGTACAAGTATTTGACAATTTATTAATTATATCCTGAGAAGAAATATACTGAGTTCAGGCCCACCGTTGCCTTCCGGGTTCATCATGTAAAACGCTTCCGAGTCTCGGCTCCCTACGACTCGCTCAAACCGTGCCCTCATGTACAGAAGCTCCCCCTCCGCTACGCCGCCGCCTTTTCCGCCGTCTTCCACCACTGGAATCACACCCGCCCCCACTGACACGCTCTGCATGGTGCTCAGCACGTGCCAGTCGGACGCCGTGCAAGCCCGCGACTGCGCGTACCCGCACTTCCTACCGTTCAAGTACATAGTCCACACCGGCTCCTGGAAAAGCTTCACTGCATGCCCTCGAGCGGTCGGAGACGGCACGGGTTTCTCGCACTCCAGCGCGATCCGGACTAGCCCGGACGACATCTCCTTGACCAACGCCGACGTCGTGACGGGCAGCTCGATGACAAGGGCCGGGTCGGACCGGGGGTCGTCCTGGACGGTGAAGCTTACGTGGCCTCTCCGGTGGCCGAACAGCGTCCCAGCTACTTTTCGGCCGAGAGGCGGCGCCGTTACCGAAACCCGTGTTGGCAAGTGAAGCCAACGACACGCAGCCGGGAAAGATATAAGACTCAAAAACGACCTGAGAAGAGCAGAGACTCCATTTATCCGCGTAATCTTGCCCAGCCGGCGGAAATCAACAGGAGAGCTTCCGCCGCCGCCGCCGCTCCCGATCAGGGTTCTATCAGAAATGTCCTCCGAGATAGCATGAGAAGTGGAGCGCTGGTAATAATAACTGGAAGGCACTATCTTCCCGGAGCTGTGCTTGCAGCTGCTGGATCTGGCTAGAGCGGCAAAAGCATGATGCTCTGTTTTCATGATCTTATTATGTTGAGGAGAGCGAGAATTAATGGGTGTGGAGGAAATCTGGAATTGAAGGAACGCGTGCGTGGGTTGGAATGAATAAAAGGGCAGGGCCAGGGCAGGCAAGGCAAATAGGCAATGATGGTGTCGAACAGAAAAAGGGAAACTATGGATGCTCTGCTGCTTAATTATGGCGTAGAGTTGAAGATGCCGCCCTTCTTTTTGACGACGTGACAACTTGTACTTGATAATTCTTATACGAGTAGAATATTGTGGTGTGCGTACTAGAAAAAGTCTCATCTCGCAGTTCTAGCTTTATTTTTTGGATAGTCATGAAGTTTATAGACTACCTTTCAAAGTCTCTAGACAGTCAAATTCAGATATTCTCTCAATCAGCCTTTGTCAGTACTGGTACCACAGAACGAATCCAGCAGGATTTCCTTTCAACAGAATCCAGAAGGGTTTCTAGAAAGAATCATTGGGAACAAGACCTCCCTCCTCTCCCCTAAATGTGCCTAGCAAGATTCAAACCCGAGACCTCCGCTATGACATGGTAACCTCTCATCCAGTGAGCCGGAATGGTTGATTTGTAGTAGGGGTGAGTGTGGTCCGGAACGGTCCGGTAAACTAGTAAAACCCGTAATGTATCCGCTACGTTTTTAACGGTCCAGTACGGTCCGGTTTCAAGAATAGAACCGCTCGGTACCATGCCGTTTCGGAACGGTACAAAACGGTATGGTACAACGCCAAACACATGCTAAAAAATTTGAACAAATCTTACAATTGGTAGATATCTTCACACCACCTCACATGAAATATTGATATAAATACAAGAAATTGCATATGTAGTACTAAAATTCACAAATACACAAATAGTGCAACACAACTAAGAAAAAGTATGACAAAACGATGACGCACGAGATAAATATCATCTTTAATTTACTAAGTTCATGTGAAAATATAAAAAAAGAATATCATCAAATTGTTCAATATAATAGAAATCTTCAATGTTCTTCTTCTTCATTCTAGGTTAAATGTTACATATTAATATCTAATTTAATTTATAGTTGAACCTTGAGAGCTAAGATTTAAACCATATTAATTAAGTTGTAAAATTGCGCAAACATGATACCACAAAAAGTCATGTACACTACATTACTAGAAATGAATAGTCCTTAATGATTTCTTAAATTTTAATATTCTTTCAATACATATCAAAATATAACATAAATTATCTAAAAAAGAAAACTAACAATATATATATATATATATATAATATAAACACACACATTTAGCTAGTTTATGAACACATGAATACAGATGTGGGCTATAAAATTGTTTGTCTATAAAAGAGATCTATTGGTATAGATAAATTATAAAAAATTTAAATGCATTATTTTCGAACGGTTCGGTCCGGTATTTTTCGGTTCTCAAAATCTAGGATTGGTCCCGTACCCATTTCAAACGGTTCGGTTTCGGTACGTGACAAAAATCTATAGAACCATTTAAATACCCAGTATTCGGTTCGGTACCATTACAGGACGGTTCGGTACCATTATGGGACGGTTCGGTACCGGTTCGGTTCGGGTTTTATGCCCACTCCTAGTTTGTAGCTTTATTATATTACCCCTACTCCTAGTGTTACCATGGTAGATACTCATTTTCTTTGTTTTTTTAGCACCAACTTGGTCCAGCTAATGGTGCCTTAGCTTCTAAAAAAATAACCACAATCCCTTTAACACTTGTACACACACCATTGTTGGGTGTAAATTCCAAGTGCTGGAACAATTTGTTAGGTCCTAACGCTTGTATGAACACCATGCATTGTCCACAAGTAGTGACTTTTGTCAGATTCATTTTGGATTCCCGGCCAACACGGTTTCTGCGAGAATAGTCATTGGTTGATCATAGCTCGTCAAATTCCTAGTAAGAAGAAGATAATTCTCAGCTACTGTTCAGACGAGACGAACTACGATCATTCAAGCTACACTCAAGCAAGTCATGAGATAGAAACAAGGGGGAGGATTTTAAGTATGAGACGTGATCCACTTGTTCACTTCACTTTTCGAATTGAATTGAATCGAATAGAAGATATCCACTTTTTTATGATTCTTTTTTCGGTGTTTGGGTTCACATAATTTATATGAACTATCTTACAAAGACAATAGACAAGTTAAATACAAATTTGATCACAATCAACTTTTGTTGATATTACGCTCCAAAGAATGCACTCAGCATAATTTGCATCACCTGTAGTCATACTATTCATCGCACCACACGAACCCCATACATTCATTATCATCTAATCCACGTTGTTCTAAGTCGTTGAACTACTCCGTGAAGATAGGAATTCATTACTAGCAAAACATCCTTCATTTCTATTGGTGGGTTTGAATTCAAGACCTCCTCAATGGGGAGATTTGAGAGTGAAAAGTCAACCAAATGAGTCACATCATGAAAAGTAGTCAAGACATGCTTACCATTGCATGCCATGATGTTACACTAAAATATACTCCCTCCGTTCCTAAAAATTCTTCCCGGTTTGACTTAGCACGCTAATTAAGAAAGTGGAAATGTATGGTTGTGGTTGTGTAAGAAAAAGGTAAAATGAATGTGAGCCACACAAATTGCCCAAAATGGGAAAGTGGGAAGTATTTTTGGGAACAGCCCAAAAAGGAAAGTGGAAAGTATTTTTGGGAACGGAGGGAGTACGAAGTATTCCATATGCTACATTTTTTCGTTTTCTTATGTGCTGAGTGAGTTTTATTTATCTCAACATAAATTACCAATACTCCGTATTGTTTAGATAAAGTTCAAAAAAAATTGACTCGAGTGATTGCTATTGCTTCTACTTTAAAAAAGTGATTTTTTAAAGTGATTTTGAGAAAAGTGCTTAATAGTAAAAATTGTTAGTGTTTGAGAAAAAAGTGATTATGGAAAAGTAAAAGTTAGTAGTGTTTGATAAAATAAGTATTTTTTGTGTAATAGAAAAAGTGAAAAATAGTTTAAAGCATATCTCAACATACTTATAACTTTTAACTTTTAAGTGATTAATTTAAGTAGAAGTTGTCACTTGAAATCCCAATTTCAGTTTTTTTAAAACCAAAAGGTGAAAAGTGTTTTTTTATATTTCCTGCAAACATGTACTTCTATGTTTGTGTTAGCGTGTGTGTGAGGGCAGTGTACATACCTAAAAAAGGCCCTCTACTAAAGAAAAAACTCTGATTATAACTTGTTCTCATTCTATTCTTTCATACGTAGTATTAACAAGGATACGATCGCTGTTTAGAGATCAAAAGAAAATTAACTAGATCAGTGGTTACGAGCAACTAAAAACTTGTTCATTTGTCTAGTTAAGATTTATGTATGATTGCTAAATGTACAAGCTGATTTAAATGATATAAAAAGCAATTTTTAAGATTAATGCCCTCAAAATTCGATTATTAAATGCCAACGATATCAAGAAATGTAGACACTAAAATAAAATGATGATCCAATCACAATTATACTAAAGGGCAGAGTTAAGGGGTGGAGGTTGGGAAGCCCCTCTCACTTAAAGTTGGAGCATACTCCTCCATCCCAAATTGATTTGAAAAGTCAACATTTTTTGATCAACCAATAATAAAACTCAATGCTCCGTATCGATAATTAATTCAAATTTTAATAATTAAAATTTACATATTCATAATTTACATTAAAATCTCTTCAAAGTTGTAAACCTCAAATTAGAATATAATTACAAATTGACATCCTAATTAAGCCAATAAAATGAAACTGTTTGACCAAGAAAAGTCAAATTTGCAAATCAATTTGAGACGGAGGTAGTATTTTGTAACTCATTGCCAGTGTTATGACCTCAAAAAATCAGTATTCATTCTAATTATAAACTAGCATTATGTTATTATTATTAGTTGAGAATCTCATTTTACGATTGGCTTGCCATAAAAGGCATCACACTAGAGAATATTTCATATCTATCTGCCATGTAAAACAAAGGAGATGTTTAAAAGAAAATAATTTTAACCGCGGTACACTTGGGAAATCATGTCTTATACTCCCTCCATCCAAAATGAAGTTTCTAATTTGACTTCACGGGTTTTTAGGTAGCATGGGAAATAAAGTTGAATTTTCAAAAATGTCATTGAGTAATTAAAAGGTGTAGTACCCAAATGGGTATACCATATACATCCAAATGAGTATAATAAAGGGAGTAATGAATAGTGAACTGAGAATAACACAAATCAATTCAATGAAGTGATGTGATGTGAGGGTACCCGGATGGCAGGCTCCCCGCTGGGCTGGATGATAGGCTCCCCGGGCTGGCATGCAGGCTCTCCGTTGGATCGGGGGCAGGCTGCTGACTGGGCTGGAAGGCAGGCTCCCCACTGGGCTGGAGGCAGGCTGTTGACCGAGCTGGAAGGCAAGCTATCTCGGGCTTCCGCTCCTTGATGGGCCTGATCGGTTGGGCCAACTTGAGCTCTGGGTCGCTGGGCCTGGGCATGCTGGTCCAAGTTCGGGACCTGAGCCAATTAGGCTCTGGGCCTAGTCCTGTAACCCCATCATGAGTCCCCCACTCCCTTAGTCGAGTAGTAGACTCGACTAAGAGGGAGTAGTTCAAGTCAGCTGCCCATTTAAAAAATATTCACATTCCAGGGAGCCATAATTGTGGATTCTGTCAATCCCACAATTTACGGAGATTTCCAAATTTTAAATAAGACTCCAAATTAATTTCCTTCGGTATCCTAGCATTCCGGCAGTCAGCTTTCTCTCAGACTTGAGAATCCAGATCAGCTTCCAAAAATTCCTGAAATTCAATACTATTATTTCATAATTATTTTCGCACTTTATCTTATTTTTTCCTTTTCCTTTTCTTTTCTTTTCCTTTTTTTCTTTCGTTTTCGTTTCTTTCCTTTCCTTTTCTTTTTTCTCTCTCCTGGAATTATGCGTGCGCCAAGCCTGGGTGATAGGCGCCCTCATGAAGCAGCTTCCGAGCTAGCGCTCTTCCTGTCCGACATCTTCTCTACATCAGCGCCGACACCACTAGGTTGTCAGCCAACCTTGAGATCAGGCCTGGTCGGAAACTCTCGGTTTCCGAGCGGCGGTTGATCCCAATCGACCGTCTGGATGGTCGGCGGCGGAGAACCTAGGACGGCGGCGAACATTGACACCTTCATCGAGGTGATTTCCAGTCTTTGATAACCTCTCAGTAGCA